GGGTGTCCCTCAGCCCGGCCTGCACCCTCTCCAATCTGGGACAACCCCTTGGGGGATATCCAACTGCCGGTTTAGGCTCGATCCCAATCGGACATCCCTCACACAATCTGGGACTGCTGGCTCTTAACAGCTCGCCTGCCTGCCTGATTGCCCCTAACCCCAGCGGTTCTCAACCTGTGGGTCTCGACCCCTTTGGTGGTCGAACGACCCTTTCACAGGGGTCACCTAAGACCATCCTGCATATCAGATATTTACATTACGATTCATCACAGTAGCAAGATTACAGTTATGAAGTAGCAACAAAAATAATTTTATGGTTGGGTCACAACATGAGGAACTGTATTTAAAGGGCCAGAAGGTTGAGAACCACTGCCCTAACCGCTTCTGGCTGCCAGCCTGATCTCCCCCTAACCACTCCCCTGCTGGCCTGATCGCCCCCAACTGCTCTCTCCTGCAGGCCTGGTCGCCCCCAGCTGCCCGCCCCTGCTGGCCTGATCTTGCCCGCAACTGCCCTCCCCTGCTGGCCATCTTGTGGCGGCCATCTTGTGAGGGCGTTGCACAAGGGCGTGACACCATCTAGGTTTTTATTATATAGAATATGAGTGAGATCATGTGATATTTATCTTTCTCCAACTTGCTTATTTTGCTTAGCATAATGTTCTCCAGTTCCATTCATGCTGTTGCACATGCTAAAAGTTCCTTCTTTTTTTATAGCAGCATAGTATTCCATTGTGTAGATGTACCACAGTTTTTAAATCCACTCATCTGCTGATAGGCACTTAGGCTGTCTCCAAATCTTAGCTATGGTGAATTGTGCTGCTATGAACATAGCAGTGCATATATCCTTTCTGATTAGTGTTTCTGGTTTCTTGGGATATAGTCCTAGAAGTGGGATCACTGGGTCAAATGGGAGTTCCATTTTTAACTTTTAGAGGAAACTCCATACTGTTTCCCAGTGGCTGCACCAGTCTGCATTCCTACCAGCAGTGCAAGAGGTTTCTTTTTTCTCCACATCCTCGCCAGCACTTGTTTGTTGATTTGTTGATGATAGCCATGATAGGTGTGAGATGGTATCTCGTTGTTTTGATTTGCATCTCTTGGATGATTAGTGACTTTGAGCACATTTTCATATGTCTCTTGGCCTTCTGTTTGTCCTCTTTAGAAAAGTGTCTGCTTAGGTCCTTTGCCCATTTTTGATTAGATTATTTATCTTCCTTTTGTTAAGTTATATGAGTTCTCTGTAAATGTTGGAGATTAAACCCTTATCGGAGATAACATTGGCAAATATGTTCTCCCATGCAGTGGGCTTTCTTGTTATTTTGTTGATGGTTTCTTTTGCTGTACAGAAGCTTTTTATTTTGATGTAGTACCATTTGTTTATTTCCTCCTTAGTTTCCGTTGCCCTAGGAGCTATATCGGTAAAGATATTGCTAAACATATGTCTGATAATTTGCTGCCTATGGAGTCTTGTAAGATTTTTATGGTTTCCCATCTTACATTTAAGTCCTTTAACCATTTTGAGTTTGTTTTTGTGTATGGTGTAAATTGGTGATCTAGTTTCATTTTTTTGCATGTATCTGACCAGTTTTCCCAGCACCGTTTATTGAAGAGGCTGTCTTGACTCCATTATATGCTCTTGCCTCCTTCGTCAAATATTAATTGAGCATAATGACTTGTGTCTATTTCTGGGTTTTCTGTTCTGTTCCATTGGTCTATATGTCTGTTCTTGTGCCAGTACCAGGCAGTTTTGAGAACCGTAGTTTTGTAATATAGCTTGATATCTGGTATTGTGATCCCTCCAACTTTGGTCTTCTTTCTCAGGATTGCTGCAGCTATTTGTTGCTGCAGCTTTTTTTATTCCAGATGAATTTTTGGAGAGTTTATTCTAGGTCTGTGAATTGATATTTTAATGCGGATTGCATTAAATCTCTAAATTGCTTTGGGTACTATGGACATTTTAATGGTATTGATTCTACCAATCCATGAACACGGTATGTTCTTCCATTTGTTTGTCTTCCTCTATCTCTTTTTTCAGTGTCCTATAGTTTTCCGAGTACAGGTCTTTTGTCTCCTTAGTTAAGTTTATTCCTAGGTATCTTAATTTTTTTGGTGCAGTGGTAAACGGGATTGTTTTTTTAGTTTCTCTTTCTGTGAGTTCATTGTTGGTGTATAAAAAAGCCATAGATTTCTGGGTGCTGATTTTGTATCCTGCTACATTGCCAAATTCATTTATTAAGTCTAGTAGTTTTTTGATGGAGTCTTTGGGGTTTTTTATGTACAGTATCATGTCATCTGCGAATAAGGACAGTTTTACTTCTTTTCTAATTTGGATGCCTTTTATTTCTTCTTCTTGTCTGATCACTATGGCTAGCACTTCCAGTACTATATCAAACAGGAGTGGTGAAAGTGGGCATCCCTGTCTTGTCCCTGTTCTTAGGGAAATGAATTTAGATTTTGTCCATTGAGTATGATGTTGACTGTATGTTTGTCATGTAAGGCTTTTATTATGTTGAGGTATGATCCCGCTATTCCCACTTTGCTGAGAGTTTTTATCAAGAAAGGGTGTTGGATTTTGTTAAATGCTTTTTCTGCATCAGTTGATATGATTATGTGATTTTTGATTCTCAATTTGTTTATGTGATGTATCATGTTTATTGATTTGGGGATATTGTACCATCCTTGCATCCCCGGAATAAATCCCACTTGTCATGGTGTATGATCTTTCTAATGTAATGCTGGATTCGATTTGCTAGAATTTTGTTGAGGATTTTAGCATCTATGTTCATCAAGGATATTGGCCTGTAGTTCTCTTTCTTTGTGGTGTCTTTATCTGGTTTTGGAATTAGAGTAATGCTGGCTTCATAGAAAGAGCTTGGAAATGTGCCTTCCTCTTGAATTTTTGGGAATAGTCTGAGGAGGATAGGTTTTAGTTCTTTGAATGCTTTCTAGAACTCTCCTGTAAAGCCGTCCGGACCAGGGGTTTTGTTTGCTGGAAGATTTTTTATTACTGCTTCAATTTCTTCGGTTATTATCAGCCTATTAAAATTTTTCTATTCTTCCTGATTGAGTTTTGGAAGCTTGTATTTTTCTAAGAATATGTCCATTTCATCTAGGTTGTCCAGTTTATTGGAATAGAGTTGTTCATAGTAATTTTTCATAATCTTTTGTATTTCTGTGGGGTTGGTTGTTACTTCACCTCTTTCATTTTTTATTTTGTTTATTTGGGTCCTCTCTCTTTGCTTCTTGGTGAGCCTGCCTAGAGGTTCATCAATCTTGTTTTTCCTTTCAAAGAACCAGCTCATGGTTTTATTGATCTTTTTTTGTTGTTGTTCTCTATGTTGTTTATTTCTGCTCTGATCTTTATTATTTCCTTCCTTCTGCCTACTCCGGGCTTTTCTTGTTGCTCTCTTTCTAATTCTTTGAGTTGTAGGGTTAGATAATTTATTACCATTTTTTCTTGTTTTTTGAGGTAGGCCTGTAGAGCTATGAACTTCCCTCTCAAGACTGCTTTCACTGTGTCCCATATATTTTAGATGTTTGTGTTTTCATTATTGTTTGTTGCCAGGATGCTTTTTATTTCTTCTTTGATCTTTTTGAGAATCCAATCATTGTTTAATAGTATGCTATTTAGCCTTCAAGTGTTTGATTTTTTTCATTGTTTTTATTGTAGTTGATTTCTCAGCTCACATTTTTAATTTCTTAAAAATATCCTCTCTGCTCTTCAACTCTTTATAATGAGCCCTCAGCAGCCCACTGTTACCCTGCATGTGCATCTGGAGTTAGAGCTGCCCTCTCCACCATCTGCTGGTCTGCAGAGCAGTTAGCCTCGGAAGCTCTTTCATTTCACTCCAGGAAATGGGCTTGGAAATCAGATGTACTTAGTGGAGGAGCAGTTTTGCTACTTCCTTAACTTAAATAAGAGTTAAGAGATTAACTTAAAAGTAAACATCATTTCTATCCATTGCTTTCACTTTTCGTTTTGGCACAAATTCGGACCCCCTTGGAGTTCTGATCTGCAGGGAAGCACGGTTTGGGGCTGGACTCAAGTTCTGTCTTTCCCGTGATGTCAAAGCTGGGGTCTTTGTGATGATAATAGATAATCACTGTGATTGAACACTGTTCTACTTTTTAACTCAGCCCTGGTTGGTAGATGCTGTTATTGTTCCATTTACCGGTAGAGCCCAGGAGAGAGGCACAAAGGGGATACATCACTTAGAGTCAGCTAGCTGGTTCAGAAGCAGAGTGGAGAGGCTGAGCACGGCCCTCATCCAGCAGCCCTCTGGAACCTGTCTGGGAGGTTTCCCTCCACAGGAAGTGCCTTTCTGAGCACAAGGCCCTGTTTGAAGGCCCCATGTTGTCCATCTTCTTTTAACCTCTCATGTTTCCTGATTCTTTCTCTAAAACTATAACCTATTCCTCTGTGATATTTTCCCCTGTGGTGACTCTCTTCTAGTGGCTCTTCCAACACTGAGCAACCCTTTCATTCACACGGGCAATTGGTAAACCTGGCACAACTATGAGGTCCCTCTTACCTCCCATTCTCTTAAAATCTCTGTTTAGATAAAAAGTCCCAAGCAAAAAACTTTTCACAGTACTCAGTAATGAACTCATAAGCCAGCGATTTTCAACCTTTTTCATCTCATGGCATACACAAACTAATTACTAAAATTCTGCAGTACACCAAAAAATATATATTTTTTGCCAATCTGACAAAAAAATTGATTCATTCACAATGGACGGCTATTGTTATGTTGACTGTTGACCTTTTTTTATTTGATAGTCTAAGACAGTGGTTCTCAACCTTGGCTGCACATTAGAATCACCTGGGAATCTTTTTAAAAATCCTGATTTCTGGGCCTCATCCTCTGAAAATTCTGTTTCTTTGTTATGGGGTGGGGCCACAACATTAGTAACAAACGGAATTTCCGGAGGATGAGGCCCAAAAATCAGGATTTTTAAAAGATTCCCAGGTGATTCTAATGTGCAGCCAAGGTTGAGAACCACTGGTCTAAGGGAAAAGAGGTCCTTGCCCCTGACCAAAATAGTCAGGTGTTGCATGTTTTAAAAATTGTTGCAGCATACTGGTTGAAAGTCGCTGTCATAAGCAGTTACTAATGGTTTGTAGACAGAGTTGGTTGTCCTGAGGCAGTCACAGCTGTTTTGCTGTGATATTTTAATTTAACTCCATGCTTGCAGTTAAGGTGTGTAATCCCACCACATCTTTTATTCTTGAGGCTTAGCTGGGTTTAGTCACTTCATGATTTGTCTAAACCAGAGTGAGTATCTTGAAACCTTGGTGAGAAGAAACTCCTGTCCATACTCTGCTGTGGGCACCGAGCACAGAATCCCTGTCAGGAACCAGGTACCTTTGTGTTTTCTGGCGACCATGCTCCCTTCCGCCCACTGCACCCCTCCAGCTGCCACTCCCCTCTCGCAGTACGTCCTCGTCGTGACTGTCACATTCAGGGCTCTGCCACACTCCTCGCTGTCCATGTGCATGACGGGCAGCTGCATCGACACATTGCCCAGCTCAGAGCCGTTGGATGTCCAGCCAATGAGGAGGCCCTGTGTCCCTGGGATGAGGATGCGCTCCGCAAAGTCCTGCTCGGGCATACAGACGGGGAGCCCCGTGTCTGGGCACTGGATGGGCAGCTCCAGCTCCAAGAGCGAAATGTCATTGTCCCCCGTCTCCTCCTCGTACATCATGTGCACATGGATGCGCTTCACCTCGATCGTCAGTGGGTCCTTGCTCGTTCTAGGAAAATCTGAAATAATGGACAATCACTGGCTTTTGTAACCTAAAGCCTGGTTTTCAGGTTACAATAATATGAAACTAATTTCTCAGTGAACCCTGTGACAAGGCAGAGGCTGGGTAAAACATGCCATGGCTAATTGTCCTGATCTCCTTTCTTCATCTATGGAACGAAGTATTCCAACTAATTCCTCATACTCCTTTAAAAATCAAAATGAGCCCTAACCGGTTTGGCTCAGTGGATGGATGGAGCGTCGGCTTTCGGACTGAAGGGTCCCAGGTTCGATTCCGGTCAAGGGCATGTGCCTTGGTTGCAGGCACATCCCCAGTAGGGGGCGTGCAGGAGGCAGCTGATCGATGTTTCTCATGGATGTTTCTAACTCTCTATCCCTCTCCCTTCCTCTCTGTAAAAAGTCAATAGAATAAAATAAAATAAAATAAAATAAAATAATGGAAGATTAAAAAAAATCAAAATGAGTTATTTTGGTGAAGTGGTAAAATAAACTAGGGGAACTTCTTCAAGCTAATTAAAACTGGGCCGGTCAGAAGTAGTTTTTCAGGTTGACATTTCGTTGACTGAAAAATATTCAAGGACGAGGAGTGAAATATAATAAGGTTCTTCAGAATCATAATAGAGAACTTTCCCAGATTATCACTGAACCTTTGCGACCTCCCTACAGGACAGAAGTTACTGCCCATTTTTCACTGATGAGGACTGAAGCACAGACAAGTTAGGTGGTGAGCTCCACGTCACAGCCGTGGCCTTGGGTGACAGGGGAATCTGAACCCAGATCTTCTGACTTTCAGTCAATTATCTGCCAACAACACAGCCTCTCCATTTCAGTATCAAATTATATTTTTATCAGCCGTGACTTCCTCAGACTGAATATTAGCATTTGTCTGCTTGCTATGCCTAGACATTCCACCAGGTATTTTACATATGCTTTCTCACTTTATAAGTAGCTCAGTAGTATTGAAGCTAAATTCATTTCTATATTGCATTAAAAACAAAACTCTAGTTTTTAAATTTTCATTCTACATAGAATACTGTTTATTTCCAACATGGTCTTATAAAAACGAGTGCTAAAATACTTACTGGTTTTCACACTGATATTTCTGTGTAACAGTGAACATTTTGCTGTTGTCAGCACAAAATTTTCCTCTATTATAACACCACCACAGAAGTCTTTTCCTTCGGAATCTATTAGTTTTACCTTAAATAAAAACAAGACAGACAATAGCTAGTGGTGAAAATTAGCAGGATTAGGGGCAGTATAGTCTGATGGTTAGAATATGGGTTCCAGCCCTAGCCAGTTTGGCTCATTGGCCTGTGGACTCAAGGGTCCCGGGTTCGATTCCAGTCAAGGGCACATGCCCTCGTGGTGGGCTCGATCCCCAGTCGAGGGCATGCAAGAGGCAGACAATGATTCTCTTCATCATTGATGTGTCTAACTCTTTCTCCCTTCCTCTCTGAAATCAATAAAAATATATTTGAAAAGAAAAGAAAAAAAAGAATATGAGCTCCAAAGATAGCCATTGAGGGAGTCAGCTGAAGGTACAGTGGATGGACAAAGCAAAGATGTATAGTGTAGCCTAAAGCAGCCACTAAGCAAAAACAATTCTAGTAAATTATCCAACAAAGAAGGTAAAACAATAAAAAAAATCAAGTAATTCAATAGAAGGCAGGAAAAAAAAAAGAGGAAAAAACAGATGGGAAAAATACAAAACAAATAGCAAAATTATGAATTTAAGCCTACCTAGATAAGTAGAAAATGGTCTAAATATCCCATTAAAAAGGCAGGGGTTTGTCAGATTGTGTAAAATTAAAAGTCAACTATATACTGCCTATAAAACATACTGTAAATATAATTTAAAAGATTGGGGGGAGGGGATTACATGCTAACACTAATCAATAGTGTCAATACCAGACCAGGGAGATATCAGAACAAACACTATTACGAGATGAAATGTGAGGTTATTTTGTGGATTAAACAAAAGAAAAAAATGTACCCTCATAGCATAGGTGCTGGCTCAAGAAATGTTGCTTATAATTTTTAGTAGTTTAATAAAATGAAAAATGCTAAGCAAAGTATAAATGCTTTTCAAATTTAATGTAGCCTCATTTCTGGAAATCTTAAGTTTATTAATAATAGTTACCATATATTAACTACCTACATAAGTCAGGTGCATTTTCTTTAACCCTCACTACAATTCTTGTATCACTATATTTTATAGGTGGGTAACACCAAGTTTGAGGGAAGACGGCATTTTCAGCATCAGTGTGCTAGACTTGTAGTAAAATGCAGTGGAACATAGTGTCAATTTCTTACCTAGAATGGAAGAAACAAGTTGTAATGATAATTTTCAACTCTATATCCTAGGCCAGTTAATTCAGTTAAATAATTTCAGAACTATTTATTATACCAGAGTAAAAATCTAATAGTATTTAGCTTGCCTATATAAGTGTGTCTGCAAACGTGTTTGATTTGTATGTAGAGAATGCTTACCTCACAGGTAATAGCTCCTGGTCTTGTTGGTACTAACATTACTTCTATAAATGAAAATGGCCACTAAGGTCCCCTTGAATGGGCTGGGAGACTAGACCACCACTGTCATCCATCCACCAGTCCCCACTCCCCATGTTCTGAGGTCTGCCTTAGTGCATTGATGAAGATGATAAGAGTGCAAGTATGAATAAGGGGATCTTAGAAAGCTTAAGGAATATGATCCTATTAACCAATGTCACCTCAATAAATTTAATTTAAAAAGAGAGAGAACAAGGAGAAAAGGCAACAGAAGATCAAGTTCACCAGCTGATAACTGGACCATTCTGGTTTTGTCCCTTTCCATCATTTTATCTCCCTTCACTCAGTCTCCTTTCAAATCCGGGTCATTGCAGTGGTCACTGAGCTCTCTTCAGTTGTCTGCGTAGGGCCCCTCCTAGCAGCCAGTGATTCTGCTGGCTCAGCCGGCTTAAAGTGTTGGACACACACACACCGAGGAGCATTACTCACAGACCCTGTAAAGAAACTGAGAATGCTAGGCTGTCCAACGTTGCAGTCACATGTGGTTACTGAGCATTTGACAGGTGACTGGTCCAAATTGAATGTTCTCCAAGTGTAAAACACACCCCAGATGTCAAAGATTAGTAATGAAGAAAAGATGTAAATATCTCAATTTTTTATATCTGTTACATGTTGAAATAATAGTATTTAGACATATTGGAGTACTGGTAAATAAAATTCATTATCCAACTTCATTTGATCTGCTTTACTTTCATTAGTGTGACTAGGAAGTTTCAGTTACATATGCAGCTTACATTATATTTCTACTGACAGGGCTATTCTAAAGGGTGTACTTCAGGGCCTGGCTGGTGTAACTCAGTGGTTAGAGTGTTGGCCCATGGACTGAAGAGTCTCGGGTTCAATTCCTGGTCAAGGACATGTACCTGGGTTGCAGGCCAGATCCTGGCTGGGGTGCCTGCAGGAGGCAACCAATCGATGTGTCTCTCTCACATTGATGTTCCTCTCTCACGTTGATGTTTCTCTCTCTCCCTCTCTCCTTCTTCCCTTCCACTCTCTCTGAAAATCAATGGAAAAAATATCCTCTGGTGAGGATTAACAACAACAAAAACCCACAAGTAAAAAAGGTGTACATTAAACAAAAAAGGTGTACAAATAAAAGAGATGATCTGCATTAGAGGCAAGAAAAATGGCAAACATGTAAATTAAAATATACATTGGTGGTATAAGCCATAATAATAAAAGTTATACTTATTTTATGGAATTACTAAAAAAGCAAGAAAAGAATGAAATGCTGGTTAAAATAGCAGATGGCTATTGTGAGGTGCTTGAAATAACTTGGCGGGGGGATGAAAATATTAACTTTATATATTGGCACGTTATAAATGAATCTTTAAATGTCAAGAGTGGCCATCTATAATAATAAAAGCATAATATGCAAATTAGACCAGACGTCCTTCCAGACGACCTTCTGGACAAAGCTAGGGCTACAAGAAAAGCCCGGGTCCCGGGTGCCAGAGGGAAGCCAGTGCCGGCAGCCGGGGGAAGGAAGGCCTACTCTTGCATGAATTTCATGCATCGGGACTCTAGTTAAATATAAATAGAATATTTAACTTCCAAACCAGTCAAGGGGGGAAATCAGAAAATAACAAAAATGAATGCCAAAGAAGAGAAATTTCCTCCACACAATAGTGGAGCTGGAGTTCCAGCTAGGAGGCTGGGGAGTGGAGAGCCTATGTCCTTAACTCTGGCCACCTGCCTTTCCTGTGGTCACTCGCCAGGTCCATGGCACCTTACCCACCCAAGTGCGACTCCAGGATACCTATGGTCTGAGAGAAATGACATTGGGCCTAGGGTGGCTATAAATAAAACTACGTTTTTATTTGGTGAAAGAATGAAGACTGCTAAAGTTGTGAATTCGGCATTAGAAAGTGCTCTGAAGTAGGACTTTGAGATTAGTTAATGGTTCACTTAAATCAAAAATGCCTCTTTCACTTAGTCATTATGTTTCTATTTGGTTGGCAAAGACCATGGAAATGACAAGGAGGATGAAACCTGTAACTAAAAGTGAAAACATGTTTATAAAATGTTTCTGTTACCTGCCATGGGAAAATCTGAAGATTCCGCCTGCTCCTCTGTGTTGCCCTGATGCACTCAGAATTCAGGATTCCACACGCACACTTGTCTTCATTTGTGGTGACAACATAAGAAAGGTCAGTGCCTTCCAAGTCAAACATCGGGTTTTATCTACTCAAATGGTGCTAACTACTTGAATCTGGCTTCTTCATGCCCATCATTTTGAGACTAGAGGCCCAGTACACGAAATTCATGCACTCTGGGGGGTCCCTCAGGAGTGGACCTAAGCTGTCAGTCAGACATCCTTAGGGCTGCTGCGGAGGTGGGAGAGGCTTCTGCCACTGCAACTGTACTTGCCAGCTGTGAGCCGGGCTTCTGGCTGAGCGGTGCTCCCCCTGTGGGAGTGCACTGACCACCAGTGGGCAGCTCCTGTGTTGATCATCTGCCCCCTGGTGGTCAGTGCGCATCATAGCGACCAGTTGTTCTGCCATTTGGTCGATTTGCATATTAGCCTTTTATTATATAGGATGGTCTTTGGTTGATTACTCCCACCCACCCACGGTTGGGGCTGCAGAGGGATGTGGGAGGTTGGCCAGCGGGGGAGGCACCTTGGGATGGCTGCAGGGTGTGTCTGGCCTGTCTTGCTCAGTCCCGATAGGACCCCAGCAGCAAGCTAACCTACCGGTTGGAGTGTCTGACCAGTGCACGTTATAGCGAGTGGTTGAGTGGCCTTAGCATTTCATTAGCATGGAGCCACAGGTGAAGTTAAATCACGTGCTCTCAGTGTTTGTAGGTTAGCTAAGATACTGCTAGGACCCAGGCAAGCTTCAGCGTGGAGGAGGGGAGGGCTGGCCGCGTCAGAGTGACTCCTCATCTCATAGACAAGAGGTGGCTTTTCAAACGTTATTGTAGGAGGAGTGGGGGTGTGTATGGGAGCCGACAGGGTAGGAACGGGAGAGACCACCTTTTCTCACTGGATTGAGAACTCACCATGTGGGATGCACGATTTGTAGTCTTGGCCCAGTTTATACCCCTGTGCACAGCTGCAAATGTAGGAGTCCTGTCCCGGGTGGCAAAAGTGTTGACACCCATCAGTCCTCAAAGGGTGACATTCATTTTTAGCTGAAAAGGAAAAAACCAGAAGTGCTAACATGGAAATAGTTGTTTTTTAAATTTCCTTGTGCCTTGGGGCTCTGGCTTTTCAGTCCAAATGTTCTCATTCTTTTCAGATTTTTGGTTCCCCACAGAAGCACTTCCCACACTTCTGTCTTCAGGAATGTGCATGGAGAAAGCAAAAGTTCAGTGAGTGACAGCCCTTGTATTTGTCCTCAGAAAATGTAACTTGGTCATGGATATATGTGTACATATTGCAAGGCCTCTGCCCATTTTCACAACTTTCACTTCCCGCTACAGGTGGGGATGTGGGATGGGAGGGTTCTAGTGGGACCCCATGTGGATGGCTGAGCAGCTGGGATGAGGATCAAAACCTTGCTTTGGCATGTGTTAGGTTTGGGATGTCTGCGAAACATTACGTGGGGCTCTCAAGGTGGCAGTTAGAGGAGAGAGATGGACTTCAGTGGAGAGATCTGGGCTGGGAATCATATTTTTCCCCAGAAAACTGACTCTGTATTGACCAGAGGCATTGAAAGGATTAAGTGAATTTATTTCCATATAGGATAATTATTGGTAGGAAATTAATTTCTTCCCACTCCCGCAAAGAATATTAGTTCATGAAGCTATAAATCTCACACCCATGCCTACCTCTGAGCCAGCCTGTGTGTGACTCCCCCTTACAGAGGGACCCTCAGATCCCATCACCCTGCTTGGGGTGGGTCGGGTTCCAGGAATTCTGGAGAGTAGACTGTAAATGGGTTAGGCGGGGCTGGGTTTGGGAGGACAGGGAGGGGACTCTAAGCAGTGGAAACTGTAGGGAGGTGTGTTTGGAAGGCAGGAGGGCCATACACAGAATGGTTTCCAGTGGAGAACCGGGTTGGAACTAGGTTCCCACGGGCACCCTTGGCTCACTCCTGGAAGCCCATCTCTGTACGGTTGGGGTGGGTCAGGGTGGCTGGGGACTCACCGAAGGCGCAGTCCTTGCCCTCGTAGCCCGAGGAGCAAGTGCAGGTGTAGCTGCGGATGTTGTCCTGGCAGGACCCGTTGTTGAGGCAGGGCTGGGAGACGCATGGGGAGCCACCTGCCAAGAGGGATGTGAGAACCTTGTGCACGTGGAATCATCTAGTTCCTCCTGATGTCCCCTGGATTAGGCTGCCAGGTGCTCCTCATGTGTCCCCTGGGGTCCCACCAGCCACCTGTGCCCATGAGGTTTGTCTAAGTCCCCCTCCTTCACCTCCTTCTCTCTTTGCTGAGCGACCATGGTGACCGGTGACTGTGGCTGGCTGCCCCAGCTCTTCTAATTCCCCTCACCCATCCCTGTGGCCCTCAGTCACTGTGGTCTTCTGGGGGCTCCTGCTAAAGGGACACCCAGCATCCCCCCAAGCCTAGGATGAGCTGTCACTTTCCTCAAATTAACCAGGATCTGACCCTTCAGCAAGAGGCCCCAGGGAGCCTGCGAGGCCCCAGGAATGAGAGGAGCGGCTCAGGATGGGGACCCTCTGGCCTCTGCCACCCGAGCCCCCAAGGGAGCGTCTCCCTGACTCCCCAGGACTTTGGGAACTTTCCTACCCTTCTCCTCGTCCTTGTCCTCAGAGAGTGTCCAGGTGCCTACGTGTGAAACGTGGAAAGCCTTACCTCATCTTAAGGAAAAAGAAGAGGAAATAATCCCTGCAAGAGTTGAGGCCACTTACCCATATAACGTTGCCAAAATTCATCCTGTAAAATTAAAATATAAAAGGGTTGCAAATAGATGATTTTTTACAATATTTTCTCCCATTGATTGACTTAAAGATAACAAGTGTTGATTTTATCCACTTAATAGAAAAATACTGGTTGAAACAGAGAATGCAAAAATTGTCTGCTTAATATTCTATTTAATATACGTGGAACATTTCCTATTTCACGTGTATTTTCTGTAACCTATTTAAGGAAGGAGAAATAATAGTCTGTGACGTGGCACAAACACCATGACCATGGCCTCCCAAGGTCACCTTCCCCTCCTCCAGGGGCACAGTATTCACTCATGTCCTATTCTACAGAGTGCATGATGTGGATACAAAGCACTAACACCACTTTTTTATAAGCCAATGAAACAACAATCAAAAGTGGGTATGTGTATGTGTAAGGTTAGTTTGGGTGGGGGGTATCTAAAATTAGGATAATTACTCGGAATTAAAGCCTAGAACGTAAACAAGTGGTTGCCATCTCCCAATCATACTTGGACTTGTAACAACCTGAATGATGTCAAATTAAGAGGACAATTTTCCGGATGGACCTAGAGGGTAGTATGCTAAGTGATAGGCCAGACAGAGAAAGACAAATACCATATGGTTTCACTTATATGTAGAATCTAAAGAACAAGATAAGTGAACAAAGAAAACAGAAACAGACTCATAGATGCAGAGAACAGGCTGACAGTTGCCAGGTGGGAATGGGGTTAGAGGGATGGGAGAAAAAGGTGAAATGATTAAGAAGTACAAATGGATAACACTGGCTGAGTGGCTCAGTTGGTTGGAGTGTCATCCTATACATCAAAAGGTTGAGGGTTCGATCCCCAGTTGAGGTATGTACAGGAGGCAACCAATCAATATTCTCTCTCACGTCTCTCTCTCTCTCTCAATCCCTTCCTCTCTCTCTCAAATCAATAAAAACATATCCTTGAATGAGAATTTTTTAAAAAGGTTGTACAAATTGGTAGTTTCAGAGTAGTCATGAGGATGTAAAGTACAGCATAGGGAATATAGTCAATAATATTAATAACATTGCAATAATTATGTAGGGTGTTAGATGGGTACTAGATTTATTGGGGGAACAATTCCTAAATTATATAAGTGTCTAACCATTAGGCTGTTCATCTGAAAATAATATAAAGTAATATTGAATGTCAACTGTAATTGAAAAATAAGAAAACCCCACAATTTTCCTTTAACCAGGAAGTTTTAATTTCTTCTAGTTTTATAAAAGATGGTCTATTTCAGAAGAGCTCTCTCATATATAAAATTAGAGTATCTAAAATTAGAATAATTCCTAGGAACTAAAGCCTAGAGTGTAAACAAGTGGTTGTCACCTTCCAGTCATACTTGGACTTGTAACAACATGAATGATATCAAATTAAGAGGACATAGCTAAGCATGCAAGAAACAATGATCTTAAAAATATACTAGGGAAACAGGTCAATATTTTATTCAGAATAACTTTAAATATTGCTACTGTTGTATGTAAAACTAGGAGATCTTTATTAAATATTTTACGTATTAGACCTGTCAGATTTGACTGGCTTCTCTATCTTCTGATAAACTTATGAATAAGCAAGAATTGTTTGCCTCTGTCATTTAGAGTATACATATAGTCAGTTTTAATCCAAATTATAGATTATGAGAGATATTTTTACTATGTAGACACTCTAGAGAGGCTTTTTGTTCCTTAAAAATCTGTTGATATATTGAAGCAATTAGGTCTCTATTAAAAATGTCAAATTCTGTCAGCGTCATGACAAGCTGACTGATGTTTGTGATGAGTAAGCTAATCAATGTGGTAATGTGCTTAATCAGAAGAAGGTGTTTAGGGGTGTGGAACTGAGTTAGTATCCTACGTACTAGATGGGAAAATTATTTCACTTCTCTGTCTCTGTTTCCTCATCAGTAAAATTAGAATTAAGTCAGCCTCACAGGTAAGTAAACAGGTCATTAATTTAGCTTCGTCTTTTTGAGAAATTATGCCCTCTCGGGCAGCAGAAATTGGAATAATCAGAAAGTGTGTGAGTTCATGGTGAGGGTACATACAGTGGTCTCATCAACTTCAAATACTTCTCTTGCTTCTTCACGGACACAAATTTCTTCATAACATTCTTTTTCCAAATTTCCCTCAAAGATCTCTTCCAAAAGATAGGAGCCAGCACGCTTCCATCTTACCAGAACGTCACTTGCTTTGGAGGCAGAAAGAAATACTACGGAGCAAGATAAGAATAGAGATGCCTCAGCAGTGATGGACTTCCCCAGGGATTGCCATGCCCGCTCCTGGGAGTCAGAGTACATGGCGCTGCCACTACCTGAGGCCTGGCTGCCTCCTCTCCTGTCCCCATCAGACCAGGTCCAACCTCTCGATTCTTTCGGGCCATCTCTTCTGGGAGGACCCGAAGGGATCCCATCATTTCCAACATATTTGTCATGAATTATAAAGAGATCAGGAAGCTCTTTTGGGAGCTGAGTGAAGACCCGCTGGCCACCCAGGGGCTCCTCTGTCCTAGAAAAAGCCCCCGGACCAAACCCACACGGTCCTCGAGGACACAGTTAGGAGGGCGACACCCACCTGAGGGCTCGGCGCCGTGGAGGCCCAGGAGGAGCAGGAACAGCCGGACGCAGCCCGCCATTCTGACGGCGGCCCAGGGACAGGTCTGCAAACACAGTGGCCAAAGTCCGCCCAGGCCTCTCACAACACAGGGAAGCTGCTTGCTTAAACGACCACCAGCCCTAAAACGTGGAGCCAAGCAGGGGACAGGGGCAGAAAACGGGAAAAGAAGTGTCTTCCGCTAAGAGGACATTTTGCCTGGAATTTTATTGGATTCATTCAATGTTTTATTTTTTTAAATTGTTTTATTGCTTAAAGTATTACAAAGAGTATTATATATGTCTCCTTTTTTTTCTCCCCTTGACCTTCCCCCGGCCTCCCATATCCCCAGTGTCTTGTGTCCATTGGTTATGCTTATATGCATGCATACAATCCTTCGGTTGATCTCTTACTCCCCCCCCCCCCGCCCCCCAACCCTCCCCGGCCTTT